AGTTTCTAATAAGCTTTTTAAGTTATTTTAAGAGAAAAAGTTATATTTTTGAGGTTATGTTACACCACTTGTAAAGTTTATAATTTACTTAGAGAGCGTTCAAAAATTACGTAACATTTTTTGGGGGAGGGGGGGGGGTCAAGCACTTTGTTACGGACAGCAGAAAAAATGTCGCTAATGTATGCAATAACGTGTTACATGGGGAGGGGGAGGGTCAAAATTAAAAAAAAAAAAATGTTTACGTAATTTGTGAACGCTCCCTTATTTCTAGTTTTTTTTACCCAAAAGAATGTGAAAAATACATTGAAAAGATGCACTAATATACACTTATTTACTTATTGAAAAACAATTTATCGAAAAATAATTAATTTTAAAAAATATGGCTATAGTTACTCTGAAAATACGTTGGTGAAGTTTGCAACGTTTATGATCAACGATTGAAAAAAAAATAATATTTTTCACTCAAAAAATAATAACTAATTTTTTGCCTACAATTTTTTTTTTTCAAAAAATTATTGATCAAGAAACGTTGCAAAAAAAAATTTTTGGATAAATAAATAAATAATTTGCATAGAAAAATATTATTTTTTCTTCTCAATCGTTGATCATAAACGTTGTGAACTTCACCGACGTCTGATTATCCGAGTTTTTTAGTTTTTCACATTTTTCTCTTACAAAAATTTTTTACATAAAAAAAAGAAAAAAAAAATTAATTTTTGATAAAATTGAAATATATTAATTGCACGTGTTACAAAATTACCACAAAATTAATTAATTCCCTTTAACGATACATAACCACAAACATCCTTGAAGACATTATTAAATATCTTATATTGAAATAATATAATACGATTAAACTGAAAAATAAAATTAATGTAAAAACTATACCTAGCATAATAATAATAATAATAATAATAATAATAATAATAATAATAATAATAATAATAATAATAATGAAAAAAATAATAATGTTATCTCAAATCTAAATAATTATTTACTTTCTTCAAAATAGATTTTATTTGATTCAAATTTTTATCTGGTTCAAATAAAAATGTTATTTGAGATAAAATACATTTTTTTTTTTAATAAATAGTTTGAAGTCAAAATATACTTTTATTTAATTCAAATGAATTAAATTTAATTGAAATAAAAAATTTATGAATGCAATAATTCATTATTTACATTGTTGATAATAATATGTTAAAACAAATGTTCACGGAAAAAATTCTGTCGTTAAAATTGAAAATTCTTATTAAAAAAAAAAGTTAATTTCATAAGGAAGAAATGATTAACTTATATTAAAAACGATTGAATCGAGCCATTTCCGGTTTGTGAAAGAAACAAACTCTCGGCAGCTTCATTTAAAAGTCATCATTATAAATTTATTCATAGCATATTAAGATATCCGGTTAACGTAATTAATTAAATTTTGGCAAAGTTAGTTCTATCAAATTAATCAAGAAATTAATATGGAACACTGTGAAAACAATATTTTTAGTTTTAAACCCTATAGCGTATGTTTAATTCAAATATATGTACTTATCTTTGCTATACAGTCAAACATATTTAAGTTTAATTTAATAATATATTTTTCTTGATAAAAAACTTACATTTCATTTAAACATAAATTTAGAAAATAATACTTTGGACCTTTAGGCATTCGAACTTCTGTTTTGAAACTTTTGTACTCCAATCTTTTGTTAAATTCAAAATTAGTATATTCTTGATATGCAATTAAACATATTAAGATTAAATGAAAAATAATTCTTTAGTTTATCTAGTACATTAATTTATTTGTATTATATTGCGCACTTTGGATAAAAATATAATAAAATTTAATACAGAATAAACTTTAATTTAAAATCATCTTCAAACGATACACGAAAAACAATTTTTTAGGTTAAGATGGTTAAGATTTATGTCAAAATCTTACTGACAATAAATATAAAATAATCAGTGGAATATCTGAATTGTGACACTTTGCAGGGAATGGTAGCTTTTTACGATGCATGGCGGGGAACTAGAATAGAGAAAAAGCAGGGTGAAGCAGATGTCAAAAATATAAATATGTGGCATATTTAGAACGTTCTACTTAAATTTCAGTTGAAATTAACGTGGACCCATTGTAAAGTAACCCGTATTACAATTTTCATTCAAACAAATAATATTTTTAAACATTATAATTAAGTAAATTTAGTATTAAGAGGGGCGCTCTACTTTAAGGCTGCGTCTACAATAGATTAAAAAATTTGTAACGATCGTGTAGTGTAAAGTCGTGACCTAGAATATTGCAAATTAACTGCTGTTAATAAACAAAAACATAACCTCAAATTCAGATTTTTAATATTAATTTAATTATTAATTTTAATTTTCAATATTAAAAATCTGAATTTGAAGTTATGTTTTTGTTTATTAACAGCAGTTAATTTGCAATATTCTAAGTCACGACTTTACACTACACTACACTACACGATCGTTACACATTTTTTAATCTATTGTAGACGCAGCCTGTAGACGCAGCCTATAGAAAGTCAAAAAATGTGTAAATTTCAGGAATTTTTTTTCTCAAACGCATTGAAATAAATTGATACAAGTTTTTGTGAATGTTTTCTTATATATTTAAACCTTCGAAATATAATTGATAAAATATTGGTAAAAAAAAAGTTCATAAGTTTAAAAAATTTGTATCAAACTAAGGGTTCAAGTAAAAAAACATCATAATGCAATTTATATTTATAAATATTTATTTGGTGGTTGGTGGTGGTAATTAAAAAATGGTAATTTAAAAATCTTGTTTATTTAAAATACAATTGAGTAAATATATTATTAACAATTATAATATTGAATATAAAAAATATAATAAAATAAAATGCACAGGATATCGTGCGTCCAGTCCATTCGGTTTCCTGTGCCTCGTTAAAAACATGCGTCGATAAAAAAATAAATGTATCTGGAAAATAAAGAAAAATTATTGTTACATGCACAATTATATACATATAAAAAAAAATTAATTATAATTATAAAAGTGTTTTACTTACTTAAAAATTATTTAAAAATAAAATCCATCACGACTTCTTTTTTGTAAAATTAAAACCCTCCAGTTTAATATGTCTCTTGATTTGTTTAATTTTTTTCCAACTCTTCGGCTTTAAAATATTTTTTTTTACCCGCCTCACCTCCAACTCTCCAAGGTATCATATATCACTTTTAATCTTTTGATTGGCGGACCCATTTTCGCTACTTCTTCTTCGCAACATTTGTGGAGGGCCGCCAACCCGGTAGGTCCGGAGAGTTCACTATTTTTCCTTTTAAAAGGGTTTCTTCGTTTAAAGTCCCCTGTGGAAGGCACAGCATGCATTGTGACTTTCTCGGGGGGCTTGGAGTGAACCTCCTCTTGAGGCGGTTATGAGTATTCTAAAATGATGTCGACGTCATAAAACTTATTCTTCATCAATTCGTCGACATCCTTTAAAATTGCTAAAAAATAAAGAATAATTTTTGTTGAATTTAAAAAAAAATGAGATTAGGTTAGTCGACGTTGCGTTACAGACGCAGGTGACGGTAAAACTACGAAAGAGTTTTACTACCCCTTATGAAAATTCCTTTTGATAAAATAATGTTAAAGCTGAAATGTTTTCAGTATAATGTTTTTTGTATAATATTTTCGCGATTATAGATAATTTTTTATAAGAAATTCATTATCAAATTCTTTTTCTCAAATAATTATAAAAATATAATTATTAGTGACTCTGTAATGAAATCATTACAATTTTATAATTATGAAAATGTAATTATAGAAAATAAAATATTATAATATTTTAATTTTTGCACGTGAAAATTATATAAATAAAAACATGAGGGCAAAACCTCATATAATAAATTTGTTGATTTAAAAATGCATTTACTTTAAAGTTCTTTTTTTTAATGTTTTTAAATTTTCAATTAATTTTTTCTTTTACTCAATTGAAATTAGTTCGAAGCGGAATATCTTATTTTAGTAAATAATTTGGTTTGTCGATTTTCGTTAATTACAAAGACCTGGCCAATCCACGGCGCAAAATTAAAGAACTAAATTTGAACAGCTGCAGTGCCGACATTCTCCTTTTTTTTGCTCGATAAAAAATTTATTCTAATACCTTTAAAACTTACCTATTTGTATAATTTCATTTAACGCATTTTAATAAAGACTATGCGAGTTGTTTCTAATAAATTTTTCGAAACAAGTCAATTATATGAAGCTTCCCTTTTAAAATAACTACTTTTGTACATATTTTAACTCTGTGTGTAATTAATTTTACTCTTTTTAATAAAATTAATAAAAATAATTTCTTTCTTCTTGACATTTTACTTCAAAATTAATTAAATCAACTACAAAGTCTGAAACAACTACAAAATCTCATTCTACCAAATGGATTCTTGGGTCATTCAACTACTTTTCTTGCGTTTTGTTTTCTAAAATACTTGATAAAAAAATTAAATATATTGTACCCTTTTTAATTTAATTGAAAATTTCTTCAAAGTGAACATTCTTACTTTAAGAGAATAATATTAGAAGCAATCGGAGAAAAAAATGTATCTCTTTCTTTCAGAATCAGAGTAAAATCTACATCAAAAGGGGAATACTTTTATTTTAAGCGGATAATGTTAGAAGCAATCAAAAGATAAATTTTCCACTCAATATGAGATTTTTTTTTCTAGGTATAAAATTCTGATTTTCAATGAATTACAAAGTAGCGGTTATGGTAAATTTTACTCAATTGAATGAAAAATGTCTTTTTCTCAGGTGTATATATCTATTTTTTGACGTCCTTCCATTTTCAAACAATTGAAATCGCGATTTGGGGTGTTCGCTGATACTCGACCTGACAATTTAATTTAAGTCTCGTATAAGAGAAAATTACTATGTACTGTCTATTGTAATAGTGAGGCTAATGAGTTTATAAATTGACCCACAGGCTTCACTCACTGTGTTCTGCTAGTGTCTATTCAGTTTGTGACTCAGTGCCTCCAGTGACAATGGCGTGCGGTTAATTTTAATTTTTTTTTTTTTTGCCACAAATGTTACTTATATATTATTATAAAATTTTTGCAAATTTCACCTAACTCAATGAATTTTTGAAAAAAATTTTTTTTTTTTGTGAAACTATATTAAAATTTAACCATACTGTCTCATAAAAAACCAATTTTCTTTTTTTGAGAAAAATTCTAAAATATGTATTCTTATTACAAGAGGATCAAATTTGTCGACGTATAATATACACGTGCGTCTCTTTTAAGATGTTGGACCGTAAGCTTTCAAGTAGGAAATACCAGTCCAAATTCTTCAATTCTCTCTCTCTCTCTTCTTTGCTGTGTTCGAGAGTTGAGTTTTATGTAGTTTTCTGAGAAAATCGATTGACTTTAAAAAATTTATTTTGTGCTTTTTTAGTGCTTTCATCAGTGATATTGCATTATGATATAAAGGCAACAAAAAAAAAAAAAAAAAATGAAACAAAAGTTTTAATAAATTCTCAACGCAAATAGTTACAAGTCCTTCAGATAAATTTTTTATCTATTACGATTTTTTGGAAATTGAAATTTTCGAAAGAAAAAACAAGAAAATTTGATAATATTGAAGTTTTGAAATTTTGAAAATTGAATTTTGTAAAAAATTTCTTGTACTGTACAAAAAGAAACGAAAATGTCGAATCAAACATCGAAAAAAGAAAATCGTGAAGAGAGTCTTCTTCATCTTCATCCAGAAGGGACTGAGGAAGAAGTTGATAAAGAATGGGAAGAATTCTCGCGACTTTTGACCAAATTTAAAGAAAGAAGAAGCCAACCCAGGTAATTTTCAATTTCAATCAAGATATTTTTAACGAAAAGATGCAAATTTTTCTTTCCTTTTTTTTAAAATCATTTATAGAATCTAAACGAAAATACTTATTGTCCAAATAAATGATACTACATATAGAACAAATGCTGTAGTTTTATTAAATTAATTATTATAGTTATAAAAATTTAAATAAAACTTTTAAATAAATAAAAATAAATAAACATATTATAAAAATAGAATAATGTACTAAAAAATTTTTTTTTTAAATATTTAATTAGAAATTAAATATACTTTGTTGAATTATTTTTTATAATTCTCTGAATAAAGGGGTCTAAGAAGCAAATGAATTATATAGATTTTGTATGAGCCAAACGTTTTGAACGTTCAAATGAACGAAATTTTTTTTACAACTTCTTTAAGTACAAATTTTATTATATAAAATATTGTTTTAAATATCTAAAAAGAAGTTATTAATTTAATAATTAATTAATTTGACGTTTTATTTTACATAGCCATCATAATTTTTAATAATTTATAGATTGAAAAAAATATTTCGTTCATTTGAACGTTCAGAACTTTGGCTCATGATTTTGTTTTATTTACTATTTCACTGAAAAAAAATTTGAATACCTGGATCAAATAAGTCGACCGACGCTCGGACGAACGCTCTATTACCAGTCAAGTAGCAGTGACAGCCTGTGGGCGGCTCACTGCTACCCGACTACCATTAGAGCGTGCGTCCGAGCGTCGGTCGAGTTATTTGATCCGGGTATTCATTTATTTGATTCAAATAATCGGTTACTTGACTATTTATCGAATAAATATCTATATACTTGAATTAAATAATTTTTATTCTAATCAATTAAATAGTATTTTGATTCAAATGCAGAAATTATTGGTTCGAATACAGTTTGTTTAATTCAAATAAAAATTATTTGGTTCAAGTAATTATTTATTTGATATTATAGTCAAGTAACGAATATTTAAAACAAATAAATTTTTTTTCAGTGTATTTATGTTTTAGTTTTACCTTTATTAAAAGTTACTTTTTATTTATGGAAAATTAAAGTCAGAGTAATAAATGTAAATATATTAGTAATAATAATAATAATAATATATTTTCTTTATTTTTCCAGCATTTATATCAAAAAAGAAAATTCGGGTGCTTGATGATAAGTTGCTCAAAATTTTAGAAGTTCATTTTCATTCTTGAATTTTTTTTATTATAATTATAATTATAATTATAATTATAATTATAATTATAATTATATAATTATAATTATAATAATAATTATTATTATTGTTATTATTATTATTATTTGAAGTATTTTAATCAGTTGTTATGCCTGCGTGCGACGTTCCTTATTTTCCAGTCAGTGATACCAATATAATCCTGAAAAGTGAGGTTATATTTACCGTCTTTAGTTTACGCATTATGTTGGTATCCTTGATTGGAAAATAAGAAACATCGCGCGCAGCCATAACAGCTGATTAAAATAAATCAAAAAATAAAATACAATTTTCTAAAATTTTGAGCGTTAACATCAAGCACTCGCGAATTTTCTTTTTGGATATGAAAGCTTAAAAAATAAGAAAAATTTTCAACTTTAAGTCATTTTATTTCGTTTAATCATTCTAATAGTCAATTTTTTTAATGTTTATTATTGTATCTTTCAAATAAACAATTATTTTTATAACGAAGAAAGTTATTGCTTTAATATTTTCTATAGTTAAGGAAAGTTTAATAGCTCTAGCCAATTGTCCCTTATTATCAATATATGTATACCTGTTTAGAAAAAAATAACAATTTTTCATAAACAAATTAAATTTTTTTAAATTTAGACTCGATGTTTTTTTTTAATTTTTTTTATTTTTACATACATGAAAATAATAAGAAAATTTTGTAATAAGTTTTGGAAAAATTTTTTTTTTAAATTGCGTATAAATTTAAAAAAATTTAATTTGTTTATAAAAAATCGTTATTTTTCTTAAACAAATTCAAAAAAATTTTTTTCGTTAACATATTTTGAAAGTCGATGAAAAACTGAAACTTTTTTGTATCTTGATCATAATTCCTAAATTCAATATTTTTAGACTTAGATGACATTTGAAATTAATTGTATTTTTAAAAAACTCGAAAAAAATCAGATTTTTAAAAATACATAACTCGAAAATTTGAGTAGTTATAAAAAAAAAATACGTAAATCTTTTTTTCTTTAAAGATCGAAAAAAATATATTTACCGAATTTAAAATTTCATAGATAAATATTTCAAGTGCAATCGCCCATATTGTATATATAAAATTTTAGACCAAAAAATCAGTTTTTATGAAATATTTTGAAATGATGATTTACATCAATAGTTGGTATTGAAAGTTATGTTCATTCTCTTTGTGTGTATTTTCACTTCAACTTTTCAAAATATAACCTTTAATTTTTTGCTTCTTAGTTCCCTTTCTTCAGGGCGCATAACATATATGAGGCATTTTACGTGTAATATTTTACGTCAAAAAATTTTTTGACTTTTTTGAAATTTTTGGGGAGATAGAGGGGGGTCAATTTTATCAGTTTTCCCTGACACCGCCTACTATTTTAAATTTTTATGTCTATTAATGCAATAAAAAAAAAATTGGCAGGTATGTTTTTTTAAGGTTTTTTCATGCTCTTTCCAATGGTGAATTTCGTTTTTTAAAATTTTTGAAGTTTGACCTTGATTTTCTATAATTAAACATAAATTTGCTATTTTCACTAAAATCGGTACTTTTTTTAAAAATAAATAATTGCAAACGAAAGCTAAGGTTTTTCCCGATCTATATATATAAATTTTCAGAATGCCGATTTTTTTTGGTTTCGCCGACATAAAATCTTTGACATTTAATATCTCGAAAACAAAAAAAATCGGCACTCTGAAAATTTATATACAGAGCGTAAAAAACCTCAGCTTTCGTTTGCAATTATTTATTTAAAAAAAAACGCACCGATTTTAGTGAAAATAGCAAATTTATGTTTATTTTAATTATAGAAAATCAAGGTCAAACTTCAAAAATTTTAAAAAACGAAAAAACCTTCAAAAATTTTACTACTACTTACTATCAGGTAGGACAACAATTTCCCCAAGTTTCACTTTTTTTTGAGAAATCAATTTTTTAACTCAGGACATTACACGTAAAATGCCTTATATACAAATGTAATTGTTAATTTTGACTAATATCTATTGTTATATTATTTGCAAGACCTCAAGCGTTCTACCCTTGTCCTCCATCAAATCTCGACGATGATCAACAATATTTCGATCCTTTCGACTACTTTAACACTGTTGTAAGAATATAATATTATTTCACATCTTTAAATAGGTAATGCTTTTCATTTCGTGATTTTGATAACTTCAAAATCATTCCTGCCAAGTATTATAATTTTTAAAAATAATTTAGATAAAAACTAATATTATATAATTTAATTGGAATGAAAATAATAAATATTATTTAATATCCCTAAATTTGCTAGTGCACGATTTGCATACAATTTTCAGTCATCTAAACACTTGTCTAACATATGTTTTCAATGAGACACTTTATAAACTATAATTTTAAAGTATAGCTCAGATTATAATGTTGAGAGATTTAAATAAACTCTTGATAATTTTATAGTATGTATTTTTTAACTAATAAAATTAGTCATTTTGTTTTTTACTAATTATTAGTTATTTTAACTAATTCAAATTTAGAGAAATAAGAATATAAAATACATGGATAATATTCAAGAACTGAAGATGACATTTTTAAATTTAGAATATATCTTTTTTTTTAATTGCGTGTAGAGTTCACTGCCTCGAAATTCGTTCACGTGACATTTATACAGAGACTTACAATTAAATAGGCATTTAAAGTTCCTGAATCTTTGCCAAAAATCGAGTGTTGAATATCTGAATAAATTCTCATCTCACATCTTTCTATATACTCGACATTTTGTCCAATATTTAGCTTATAAAAAAAATTTTGAAAAAAACCATAAGAAAAAATTTTAATTCAAATGTATATTACAGAATATTTTTAAATTAAAATTTTTTTTCAAATTTAATCGAATGTTAACGTGTTTTATATAGATAACGAATTTAAATATGGTGCTCATAGTAGTGAAATAGAAAAATTGATAAGTTTACAATTCGATATCGTATATACATTTCCGAAAATTATTTACAAAATACAAAATCCGGTTTATTCTCGAATTATACGAGAATATACCGGATTCGAAGAAATAACCTCTCGTGACAAATATATTGAAAGCCACTTTTTAGAAATCTGATCACGCATCTTCATTAAATTTACATGTTCTCAAAATTTAATATAGCATATAATTTTTTAACTCTAATTTAGATTTTGCTAATTTTATACACAAAAATGCAAACGTAATGAAAATTTTTGTTTAAAAATAAAAATAAATTTTAAAGGGAGAAATAAATTAATTGAATATAATAATAAATTTCTTTTTTAAAAGAAAAAATATTAGTAATATTCATAATAGAAGGATATTAAAAATTTTTACAAAATCGAAGTAAAAAAAAACAAATTGTAAATTCAGATGTTCATTATACATGAACATTTTGCTTCCTCTTTACGATTAGCAAAAAAATTTGCTTCCTCGTGGAGAAAGCATTAACATTGAAATAAACATACAAAAGTAATATAATAATATAAACATTAGAGTACCTATACATTTGAGTAAAATTTAAAGAATTAATGGAAGTTAAAAAATTCATATTTTAACCGAAATTTCTGAATATTAATGAAAAATAATTTATAATTATTTACAATTATATCGATTCGTTTTAATGCAAGGAACACAATTATTTTATATTTAAACTTGAATTTAAATAAATATAAAATTTTTCAGCTAAAATGTGCGTATTTTCTATTTTTTAACTTTCATTAATTTATTAAATTTACCTCAAATGTAAATTTTATATATACCAATTGATTCGTTTTCATGTAAGGAATACAATTATTTCATCTATAAACTTAAATTTAAATAATCACAAAATTTTATAGCCAAAATGTGAATTTTTGATTTTTTAACTTTTATTAATTCTTTAAATTTAAATTAAAACTATACTTTATATATACTGATCGATTTGTCTTGACGTAAGGAATACGATTTTATTATATATAATCTTAAATTTTTCTATTTAAAAATTTTTTCGATTAAAAAAAAAATTTTTTGAAAAAAGACGATAACATTTTTTTTTTTGGTTATTTTTTAAAATCCTTTGGTCTGATTTGAGATATTAATATGATAAATGAGCCTACCAAATTTTATCTTGACTTTGACTTTGAAAACCATATTTATTTATCATTGAGAGTTGTACATTAAAGTTATACAAAAATTTCTTAATTCTAAGATATATGTATATTCAGCGTCTGTTATTTTAAGTAACTTATCTGAATGTTTCTTTATTTTATTAAAGTTTATATATTTAATAATATTTATATTTTCTTTGTTTGGGTAAAAACCAAATTTTATATAAATCCATTTAAACCTGTTAAAGTTATCTTCTAAACAAAAAAGGGATCCACACACACATACATCAGGACAATTGATCAGGATCTCATATAACATGTTTCTATATAGAGAAAAATTTGTTTTCGACACTTCGAAAATTTTTACAAACGACAGGACTACAAAGCTTCCTCCACGAGGAAGCAAAATTGTGGAAAATTTTTCGCAGAATTGACCCGACAGTCTCAAATTAAAACCTCAATGGAAAAAAATTATATCGATTTTATTTTTTATATATTTTTTATGTATGAGGTTTAATGAATAAATATTTATAAAAAAAATTTGTCAAATTTTTTGGTAAAAAAGTAAATTAAAAAAAAATAAATAAACTATACTGTAAAAGTTGATGTTGAAAAAAATAATTGGCATCATTTCTTTAAAAAAAAAAAAAAAATCACCGATTTGATGAAAAGACAATTATAAGAAAGTTGGATAGTAAATTTCACGTGTTTATTTAAATTAGCCTTGAATCGGAGAGCGTGAGTCGACCTCGTCGAATATTAAATACGCATAGAGACAGGTGGCATCCAGTCATATGACTGTTTCGAAAGGAATTGATTTGCAGTTAAACACCTCGTGATCGACTTTGGTCAATAAACAAACACCATTTTTTTTATTTTTTTTTAGAAAAACGATCATTTTCACGTGCAAATTCCGAATATATATTACACATTACATTACATGTGACTTGATTATTATACATATTAATTATTAACAAATTGTAAATTATACACGTTTTATAGAAATTCAAGAAATCGTTAATGTTTAAAAAAATATATTGGTCATTATTTCGATAAAAAATAATTAACACCTCTAAATGATGTAATTTTTATAATTGATTGAAATTTCACTAATGATATTCTTTAAAAATTTAACTTTTATTATTTTTCACTAAAAAAAAATGTTATTTAAAAAAATTATAATTTTTTAAAATTATTTTTAACAATGAATTGTACGGATTTTTTTAAAAATTTCCCACTAAGAAAACGCAATATTTTCATTTTAACCATATTATGTTTAATTCAAACTTATATCTTTGCTATACAGTCAAACATATTTAAGTTTAATTCAATAATACATTTTTTTGTTGATAAAATATATTATATTAAAACATAATAAATTTTGTTTAATTCAAAGTTAGTATGCAATTAAACATATTAAGATTAAATGAAAAATAATTCTTTGGTTGATCTAGTACATTATTTTATTTGTATTATATTGCGAACTTTGAATAAAAATACAGTAAATTTAATACACACAGAATAAACTTTAACGTAAAATAATCCCCGAACGACGATATACAAAAAACGAAAAAACAATTTTTTAGGTTAAAAATCCTGTCAAAATCTTATTTTCTAATAAGTTTTTCATTAACATTTTTACTTAAATAAATATTATTTTAACTAACGATCATAACCGATCTAAATCAAAAATAAAAATAAGAAATCAGAGATTTTTATTTACTGGGGTTAAAGTTCCTAAGAGAACTGCGTACCCGAAACGATAGTTTATATATTTTATAATGTTTCTTTTGTAAACTTAACTGTGTATTTTATGAACAATAAATATATTTTTCAAAGTCAAAAAAGTCAAAACCTTATTGACAAAGGGTGTTTTCGGAAGCTGCTGTGAGTATACTGTCAGTATACTGTCAGCAACTCCCGAAAACACACATAAAATATAAAATAATTAGAGGAACATCTAAATTGTGAAAGTTTAAAGGGAATGGTAGCTTTTTTTGATACATGGCGGGTAACTAAGGCCTGAGCAGAATAGAAACGTAACCGGAATCGTAATTGCAAACGCAAGCGGAAGAAGTTAAAGAAGGATAGACATATTGTTTGTCCTTCTCTAACTCATTATTCCAGTTGCGTTTGCGGTTACGATTCTGGTTACGTTTCTATTCTACGTTGGCCTGAACAGAGAAAAGCAAGGTGAGGCAGGTGTCAAAAATATTAAGATATGACATATTTCGGACGTTCTAGTGGAATTCCAGTCGAAATTTAAGGCCAAAGCAGAATAGATTCTTGAACGGAAACGCAATTGTGAACAGAAACGTAAGATAATGAGTGAGAAAAGAATAAAGATATTTGCTATCCTTCTCTTACTCATTCTTACGTTTTCGTTTACGATTGCTTTCCCGTTCAAGAATCTATTCTTGCTTAGCCCTTTAAATGAACCCATTCTAAACTAACCTTTAAATTTTAATCATTTTCATTAAAACAAACAATATATGTTTGAAAAAAATTTCTAATTTTTATTTAAAAAAAAAAATAACAATTTTTTATAAAGAAATTAATATTTTTTCTTTCAGGTAGTTTAAAAAAAATTTTTTTTCTTTAAATACAATATCTGGGAATACTGAGATTTTGCAAAAAGTTTTGAAGTTGACCTGTTAAAATTTTGTATTTAAATAATTTGTTTAAAAAAAATAACCGTATTCCTAAGATATTATTGCAAATATAAGTTTGTGAATCTTTTGTTACAAATTAGCTTAACTTTGTTGTTATTGTGTTAATAAATCACCATAATATAATGACGCTGAAGAGCACTTTGTAATAATTAAATTCGACCTTGATAAGTCGCTAATAATTGTTCAGTGATCTTACATGAGTCCATTGCCAACTATTTAGCGCCAATTGTCATTTAAAAATTTATTCTTATACAGGGTTAAAAAACTTTTGTCTTACTTTGCAATTTGTTTCTTATTTAATTTTAATTTTTTTTATTAATTAGTTCAAAATTTTTTTAATATTAAATAATTA